CAAGTGTGACAGAACCTGAAAGCACATGGCTATCATTTCTTTAGAAAGTAGTGAAAAATATAATGGTCTAATTAACAATTCATTTTCAGACTAAAGATATGAGCTCCCATATTTATAATTAGGTCTCTTCAAACACAGCTCCATCTCCTTCAGTATCACAGCATGTAGGTGTGTGGAGTACATTAAAACAAAGAGTTTTTCAGTTTCAGTTTTGCTCCTTAAATGCAATATTGTTTGCAGCAGTGGTATTACCACACGAACAGATTTAATCACGTAGAAGAAAAAATAGAATACAACAGACAGCCAAAAAAAAAAAAAAATCATACTCAGTGGTGATGTCAGTGTGATGATGTCAGTCACAGTTTGGTGATGCTGTCAGTTGTCAGATTGTTCACTTAGCTCGATGCAAAGATGTGTCTGTCTTTATGAGTGTCAGTGTGTGCCGAGACACTAGACACAAATGATAACAGCAATAAAATGGTGTCTCACTGCAGTGGATGCACTGACCTGTATAATTAGGGTGCTATATTCATGTCCTTTGGGACTTCATGGGGCTTCAGGTGAACTTTTTTTTCTTCTTCTTCAGATGTATTTAATAAGTTGTTTGATCCAAATGATCAAAAGGTGCATAGAATCTGTGGTGCAACATTAAAAACCAAAAAATGCTGCTGCAACATGTGTTTCCAGAAGCAGTCCTCAACCCCTACCATATGGATCCTGTACTATTATTCGGCATTATATTCAGTTTTTATCAGCTACTTACAGTAAAGCAGCTAAAGAATGAGCAGAGAAGTCAAATGAGAAGTGAAGTGTACATCATGTTTTTTTTTTCATTTATTAAATCAAAATAGTTTACAAATTTACAAGATTGAAGTGAAATTGACAGGATGTACTGAAAACGCAAGAAGTAGAAAACAAGAGAATACATTTAGAATGAATTATAAATGAAAAAAACAAATGTGTTGTGTCCTAACTTAATGACACAACTGATATCATGAAGAAGAAGAAGAAAAAAAAAAAGAAACTATCTACAAAAAAGAAATCACTGGAAGTCATGCCAGCGACGTGGCTGGAGCTACATGTGTCCGGCTCGCTTCCTAAGAAGCAGGTGCCCAGTCCACGTCAGGGCTACGACAGCAAAACCGAGGTAGGCGACAAGGATGATGATAACATTTCCAAGTGTAGGCAGGAATATCTCCACGAAGTTTCTCAATTCTGCACAGATGAAGACAGGAAGATAAAAGTGAAGTTTAAATGCAGGAGATGATCGATAGACCTTTGCTGAAGTAAAAGTGCTGTTACCACACTGTAATAAGTCTCCACTGTAAGTGACAGTCTTGCATTCAAAAGGTACTTACGTAGAGGTTACAAGTATTATCAGCAAAAATGTGTTTAAAGTTGCCAAAAAGTACTCATTGTGCTGTAAAATGTTCCTTGTCAGTGTTTTCCTGTAAGAAGTTATATATTTGGATTCATATGAGTAGAGCATTACTGTGCATGCAGCATTTCACTGCTGTATAGATGTTTAAGCCTGTAAGGCCACAGTTGCAAAATTACATACATCGCTTTTAGGTATTCTGATACAAAAAAAAATAATCTGCAAATGTTCCAATTCTTTAAGACCACCTTAGTTTAAAGTTTTCACTATGCTCCTGACAATGCTATTTGACAGTAGATGTGTATACAGGTCCAGCCATTAGGCCATGAACTCACACAGCCTGCAAAGTTTGCTTCAAGTTCAGGAAACACACAGCAAATACTTATTTTCTAGATTCAATAAATACATCATGAATTAGGGCTATGTTTCATGACAATCCTACCTTGACTTGATAAAGGGATCATATTTCATAATTGCAATAAAGTGTTCATCTAGAAGGATAGAGGAACTCATTACTTTAATACACTCTCACCAGTGTTCTTTATCTATAAACTAAAACAATTCATCAGTCCATCAACTGGCATAAAACAATACATCATGATTTGGAATGTCAGTCAAAGTTCACATTAATAAACAAGTTGTATGACGATGTAAGTTAAAAATGCAAAGACTGGATGATTCTAATAAAAACCATCAGGGCTCTGGTCCATGGAGTACTGTACTTGTTCAAATGTCAGCTTACCTGATACTCTGCCGATCAGTCGCATTGGCTTCAGAGCATGATGTACGTTAAGGTTGACACCATGGGCAGCCAAAAAACAGTCAACAATCCTGAGGAAGTTGGGG